TTCATTCTGCTTATAATACTGTATTATTGCTGATTACAATCACTTTCATTCAAAATCCATCCTTTTAATATTGTCAAAGTATCTTTGTGAACCATGGACCCAGTGATAGTTTACTTAACATCTTTAGCACATATTTTTAGGGTTTCCTAAAACTCCCTAACTCATCACTTAAGAAAAAATATTACAAAGGATTTAAAATTCAGGGAATATTTGCAAGGCATTGGATTTAAAAAGTTAAAGTATTTTCCTATGTAATCTTATATAATCTTTAACATAGTAATATGCCTTATAATTACCCAAGAAGAAAGAATGAAATATGATGAGGAACCACCGAATATTATTTGGGACTTCATAAGAGTATATACCCTGGTCTTACACTCCAAGGATACTAAGCCACAACTTAGTTTCTATGGCTTAATGGGCCATCAGCTCATTAAATGAGATATGATATGCAAAATTACTTAGTACTCAATAACTGTTATTATATAATAGCCTCCACATTTTTATCTTTTGCAAACATGTTTAATCATTCTGATTTCATCGCACAAAGTATAAAACATATACTCCTCAACTGTGGTTTAGCCTCACCTCCCTCTTCACCATGCACCTTCCTTCTCTTTCTGTCTTCTCTTTCATATTGCATTCTTTATGTCTCTACAACACATTAACTTCTTCCTGATTTAGCATCCTCACATTTCGTCTTCTTTCAGCCTAGAGCATCCCATCACCCCAGTTGTTTTCCTTGCTTTGTTAATTACTACTTATGCTTCTAATCTCAATTTCTAGGCCGCTTTCTTTGGGAAGTTTTCCCTGAACCTTAGCATTTTACCACAGGTCTCCTGCACTTCTTCACATCAACATGCCAGTAATTATTAAATAAGTAATTATTACATTATTATATATGTTTTTTTCCTTGCTAGCTCTATAAAAAAAGATAAAGTTGTGTTTTGTTTATCACTGTATTTTCAGAGTCATCATAATAACTGACATAGTGGTTGCTTTGTAAACATTTGTTGCATTAATGAATGACTAAAAATAGAGGTAGGTTAACTAACTAGCAAGATTTCTTTAAAATAATTGTAAGCACTGACTAGAGAGATTTAACTTCATAAATTCTCAAGGCCACTTGGGGGCTCTAAAGGCAATATCCCTCCCCCACTAAAAAAAAAGAAAAAATCCTCTGTTTTATGGAACTATTTCCCACTGTGACAATCTTTAAGAGACAAAGAGACATTTTTGCTTGGTAAATGCCACTCAGAAGCTTTCATTTTAGCTTCATTGAAAATAATCTTGATTCCCTGATAGGTACTATTTCTAGCATTTTCAATGTTTGGCACCTTAACGGGCATCTGCCTATATTTTGTCAGCTCTGGTTGTCAATTTGCAGACCAATTTTTGATATATTCCCTACATTTTACCTCCATTAACATTTTTCAAGTGAAATACCTCCTTCTTATTTGGGATGACTTTGACTTCTCATTTACTCTTTCAATTTTCTTACATACATGCTCAGAGAAATCTATATTTTCCATTTGAAAATATATTTTATCCATTTAGATAAAAATACATTTCTATAGCTCCCAAAGAAAGCACCACATTTCTTTTTATTCTGATTTTGATTTTTTTTTTTTTCCTGAAATCTTTTTGCCAAAAGCACTACAAGGAACAATCTATTTTGCTTGAGAAGTGACAAAGACATTCTTAACCCTCTGTGGTCTGCCTTTGCTGAAATTTAACTGCAGCATTTTTCATCATATGTTAGAAAGGTTGTATTTGCCCTACAATAGTTCCCCTACGTGGGGGAACTGTCCTAAAGCAATGCAATCCAACTTACAAAGTTTTAGATTCGTTTTCCCCATAAGAATGACTAGTCAGAGTCTACATGTTAAATGTATATACTTGAAAATGGAAAAGCAGTTAAAAAATTACCTGAAAACCAGATGTGTGGACACAGCCTCAGGCTTCTACAAGCTGTGTTGGCTGTACTGACTGGATTGTGTGTGTAATTACAAAAAAAAATTTCAATAGTGTTTTACCTTGGCCATGTTCACTGGGAAACTATTTCCTTGATGGCTCTGGGTTTTCGAAATGAACTCATGTCAAGTTATCCTACTAGCTGCTGACTAGTATTAAAGGCTTTGTAGAATATTATTAAGGTACTTCAGGACAAAGTTAATATATTTTCATTATTGATGATATCAAAAATAAATAAGCCTTTATTTAAAAATATAAAACATAAAGAGAAAATGAAAATCACTCATAACCCAAGAATCTAACAAGACTAATTACATCAAAATAACTATTTTTCTAAAGAATAAAGTATATTTGTCTTCTCTTTCCTCTCTCAGACCATGCCACATATGGGGTTTTACAATTTTCTCTTTTTAGACAATTTTATCTTATGAACATTTCCCTATATCAGACAACTCACAGAATTATGAAATAAAAGTATGTTGATGTGCCCCAAGATATCTTCAAATTTAATTTCCCTATCCCTTACCTACCCCTGCATTATTTTCATTTAACATAATTATTTATTAAATTTAGGAGATTTTTTCCTCATTATCTTTATATTCGCTAGAATTCTGTGAAACAAAAAGATGGCTCCTTATCAGCATTTTTCTCCACAATTATTGAAATAAATGTCACACAAAAGATAAATTGCAGGCATTGCAGAATAAGCTTCTGTAAATGCAAAGTAAAGACTAATATTCAACATTTGTCAGGTGGGAAGGGTTTCTGTATATAATAAATACAAGTAGTTACAGTTTTATCGTTTTTAAGAACACTTCTAAATGTTTAAATCAGCATTGCTTATATAAGTGACATAAATTTCTAAATTTCTCAGTGCCTCTGTATAAAAAGCAAAAAAAAACAGACTTGATTAATGTAATTATATTTTAACCCAATGCCCTAAACATTCTGTTATGTCGGCATGTAGTTAATATAAAAAAAAATAATGTAACTTTTTTGTACTAAGCCTTTGGATACTATTGTGTATTTTACCTTTATAACAAATCTCAATTTGAGCTAGCCACAATTCAAGTGCTCAATAGCCAGAAGGAGTTAGTGGCTACCATATTGGACAGTGTACATATACATTTTTTTGCATGGAAAAAACAATTTAATGGAAAAAAATATGCTTCTATTTCAAAAGTAAAATTTGAAGTTTAAGAAATCAAATATTTTCTGAGGCTTTCAGAGTTTTCTTCTCAGAAATAATCCTTTCTTAAGATCTAATTTTAACTGTCATCTATACCAAATGAAAGTGATACTCTAAGTTCAGCTTCATAATATTTGATAAAAGTAATTTATCTTAAATATATACAAATCTGATGTGGTTTTTTGGTTGTTTATAACATTACTATTTAGATAATTACAATATTTCATATTAATAATGTAGATCGCTCCCTGATTTAGCAAATATTTTGTAGTAGCAAAACCGTACAGCTCTGTGGAAGGCCGAAATAAAATCCTAAAATATTAAGTTCAAAGGCAATCTAGAATCACCATGGAATTAAGAAAGATATGTTTAGATTTTCAATAAAAACTAGCCTGTCAGGAACAAATATCACTAAATATCAGTGGTTGTCTACGATTATTTTTCTAGAACTTGCAAAATTAAAGATTGAAAATGAAGAAAGAAAGATGAGGCTTCTTTTTTTAAATGGGGGAGAAAGAAAATATTTGAAAACAATTCTAAAAATAGTAGACTATATAATATGTTATTTATTTTGTGCTTATTGATGTCAATAGCTTGACACACACTGTTATCTAATTCTTATATTTTCTTATCATTTTTGTATTCACAAATTGTGGTTGCTTCTGTCTAGCTGACAGAAAGGTTTGTGAAACAGTATATACAATGTCACATTTATGCTTAATTTTTACAAAACTACATTTCTCTGAGCTTATTTCCTTCCCTATGAGGGAGGATGATCATAGTCTTGAATTCATCATTTTTAATGTACATAACCTGAATTTTTACTTTTTTACCGAATGTCTATTAGCATCTTGATTAAGGATTAAAAACGTCCCACTTGTAGCCCCTTTTTAACTTTTTCTCCCTAAAATTTATGAGACATTTGCCATTATGTCTATCTCCACTTGAATTTAACAGGAAAATAATGACACTTTCTCCTGATACAGTGCAAGGCGCTATTTGGTAGGAGGATTTAGTGAGAAGGTGCAATAGAAAACTCTATTAGACATGCTCAATGTTGTGCAAAGATGAGGTTTATCCTTGGAAAAAATATGTTCTGCCATTTGAAAACCAAGAAAAATATCTAGCCTCTGCCTTTGTCCTCAATTTGCTTTCCATTGGACATTGTGAACTAGGAAGAATGGATATATTTCACCCAGCGAGAACAGAGAGAAAGTGATTCCATATTCCCTGGATGAATTTTACACTTTACAGTATCTGACACTAAACAACTTGGCTGTACCGAATGTTTCTCAAGATGATTGATACTAAGGTCTGATTATTCAGAAATATTCTTAGGTTGCCAAAATACCATGTCACTTTCTGTCTTTCTGGGAAACAAAAATGTGTGCAAGAAATTTCACATTTTTAAGGTAGAAGTGGAATCCCTTTTAGACAGCTAGATTGGCCAATCTCAAGAGGGAGGGTTTTCAGCTTGGAAACAATGGCTCAACCATGTTCTTTATTGAAGTTGTGTCTATTTGCAAAGCCTTTTTTTTTTTCATACTGTCTCAGCATTCAGAAAGAACAGTGGGAACCTGAACACTCATCTGTATATGTTTACAGTATCCAATCAATTTGCATTAATAAAGATTTAAAACTGGCAAATTAATTTGTGAGGTGACTTGTTTGAGTGAGTCTTTAAGCATTCTCTGGAGAGCTATTGTGAAATCACTGAATACAAGCACTATATTTAGAACGTGTGTTGAGTCTCTGAATGCTCAGCAGCAGTAATAGGTCTATTTCTGAAGTAAGGACTGCCTCCCTGTGGAATTCCACTGGGAAGATAAATGAAAAGATCCCTGAGTAATAATGCCATATCTCAATAGTAGGTCAAAGAGTGGCTCTAACATGGTCTTCATGGTTAAAGGTCTCTTCACTTATTCTTTAAATAAATATTTACTGCGCATCTATTATGTGCCTCTCCATCTTCCAGGTTCTGGGAAAACAACAAAATCAAAATATATTATATCCTTGCCCCATGGAATTTGTGTTCCCAGAAGTATGCAAATGAAAAAAATAATTTTAAGAGTAAGAATTGCAAGGAAGGAAATGAACCAGGTGATCCAATAGAATAGTAAGAAAGACTTCACATTTTGTATATAGTTGTCAATTAAAGCTGTACTGAGAAGAGCTGAATGTTGTAAAGAAGCCAGACAACCAGATGAGAAGCTCCTGGGATGAGTGTTGCCATCAGGCCACCCGTAAATTAACTGAGGTGAGAAAGCAGTTTGTGTATTTGATGATCAGATAATAGATAGTAATTTTAGTCATGGCTAAGAGTTTTAGAATTTTAAATAAAACTTCAAGAGAAGATGATTAAACATTATTTTCAGAAAAATTTATTTTATTACTATCCCTTTATCTGCTACATGTTGAATGGTTTATGGCAAGACAAGGGTAGGAGAGAAAGATCAATATGGTGACTATGATGGGGTTCAGATTGATGACAGTGGCAGTGTGGACTGGAATAGCAGCAATGAAAGTGGAGAAGAATAGATTATTTCAAAATATGATTTAGGAATAGGATGTGGGGAGGTAACGAAAGGAAGGAATAAGAGTAATTATCATGTATTACGGCTTGAGGAATTAAGTAAGTGGTGATAGCATTTATTGGGCAAGGGCTGAGGAAGAAGACACTTGGAGAACAAAACTCAAATACTTCTTTAGGTATATTGATTTTGAGATAACCATTTTATGTTCTGCTTCCTACTGGATAGCTACATTTAGATCTTAGGGAAGAAGGCATCCAGCAGAAATATCAGAGTTGGACATGAGTCTTGGTCTTTAGAGAACAATTTGTTTTCTTGTTTGATTTTTTTTTTTTTCATAATCAGTGTCATCTGAACGCTGCTAGCTGTGTGGGTAGAATTCAGTATATGAATCCTGAGTGAATGATAATAAAGACTAAACTACTTATGAGAATTAAAAGCTTTTAGTCTGGTACTTTCCTCGGCATTGTGCTTAAAATGAGATCGTATCTCTCCCCTCCCAAACAATATATCTATTAAAATCTACATGCAGGCAAGGACCAACATGTCTATCATATACAGATGCCATGCCAAGATCTGGCTCAGGACATGACACATCACACTTACTCAGCAGGTATTCAGGGAATAAATTATGTGAAAATGAACAAAGCGCAGGCAGTGATGTTTGCACCATTGTTTTTCCTTTTCCTGGGGAAAAATGTTGGCTTGAAGTGTAGTGAAACTAACGTAAGCATTTGTCATCCTCCTTTTCCTCTTATATCAAAGATTATTTGAAGTAACACCAAAGAATCTGTAAGATAAATAAATAAGAGGGCTACTGCTGGTTACTAACTAATATTGCCAAAAGCTATTCTCCTGGACTGGTGAGCTACAGGTTTCCTGAACACTGTAAAGGTGAGAACAGCTGGTTAGACCTGTGTTTTCTTCAGTGTGTCTCTCTGCAAAAGAACAATTCCCAGTTATTGTTGGTTTCTGCCAAGAAACCCCTGGATATTTCAGTTTTATCAAAATGATTGGTCTTTAGAAAACAAAGTTAAATATTTTGTTTGTTTGTTTGTTGTTGTTGTTGTTTTTTGATTTTATAGAGGTTACCTCAAAACAACGTTTGCTTAGTGCCAACGTTTCAGAGAACATTGGAAAATCTCTTCTCATTCTAGTTTATGGGCTTGTTTTATATGTATAAAATCATACTGCACTTTTCAGCAAAAAAAAAGCATCCCCCAAATGGATCAACAGTCACATTATTCACCCATGTGCAGCTGGATGTTTGCTCTTTCCAAAGGTTATCAAGTTAACTACTCATCATTAGAGAGGGTGTTTATTTTAAAAGGTCATAGACTCAGAAGGCAGCTGCACAGATCCCTAATATGTGCAATTTGTTCACCTATAAACGGGTGAGGTTTGCACTCCATGGATGTTCAATGGTCATTCAGTATTAATGTAAATTTCCAGAGCCCCTAAGAACCCACCTTGGGTGATCATCTGTGTCTACCCTTAACTATCATCTAGAAGAGTCTAATTTTTCAGAAGCAGTCTCAAACATGTTTTGAGAGAAATATTGAAATAAGCATGCATCAACTAGTGAGATTACTTGAGGTAAATGAGTACCCTTTGAATATTTACTCATTCTGGAGTTTTTTTATTTTGTTATTCATCTCTTTTTTCACTTAAAATATTTATTGAGCTCTTAGTGAATGGAGGCACTAAGCAAGGATAATCTTGTGAACCCCAATATTTACAGCACCTTCTTTGCTGCAACTCCCACTGTTAATATAATAGAATATTCTCATTATTCCTCTTTCCTTAAAAGAACAAGTTGTGTTTCTATTATTATTATTAGCAGTAGAGGCTTACATAAAGAGTGCATTAAAAATCACACCCAAATACAACTGCTGACAGTTTGTGACAATCTAATTGCATTTCTGCCATTCCAGAGAAGGTATTTGTTGTCACTTATAATGAGGCCATAAATTAACAATCAACTGGAAAGAGACAGTTTTAAATACAACCTCTTCACCATTTAAAGCAGGTCTTTCGTACTAAACACATTATCAGGATCTCTAAGTTTTCCTAGAAAGCAATGTATTTCTCCTTCTCACCTCATGCCACATGCTATGAACAAGAGGGGAATTGCAAGGTAGCACGGGCTCTGCAGAAGCACCCACAGTGGGAAAGTGGTGGGTGGCATGATTTGCACTCTCTAGGTGTTGCTGAGCGCCTCCTCTAAAGTGGAACAAGAAGCCTGGGGAGAGTTATAAAAGAAGCAGCTCAAAATTATTATTTTGCACCTTTTAAGTAATGCGTTACAGGGATATGGTTAAGAACATGGACTTCTCTGAAGGTGTGTCAGTTTGACTCCAATCTGTCACTTTCTAGAGTTGTCTGCTTCAATCGAAAAACCAGTAGTCATGTGTGGATATTTAAATTTAAATTAGTTAAAATTAAATAAAAATGATAAGAGTGATAGTTCCATAGTCATGATCATTATATTTCCAGTGCTCAGATACAGAACATTTCTATCATCACAGAAAGCTCCATTGAACAATGCTATTCTACAGTAATCACTTTCACTTCCATGGCTAACATTCTATATAGTTAAACCCAACTTCATTACCCACCTTTGCTAGATCAGTCATCTCCCTTCTTTTACATTTGCTTTCCTGTGATTTCTGCTCAGAAGCCATTGCCATCATTCTGAAATTTAAACTAAAGCAAAGGTGGGAGGATCCCTTGAGGCCAAGAGTTGGAAACTGCAGTAAGCCACGATCATCCTACTCTACTCCCATAGCAGCCTGGGCGGCAAAGTGAGACCTTGTCTCCAAAAAACAAAAAAGAAAAAAGAAAGGAAGAAAGAAGAGAGAAAGAAAGAAAGACAGACATTTAAATCTGACCATGATATCTTCCTTTGTAGTTTCTCTTTATATTCCAGTAAAACCCAGGTTCATTGCTGTGGTCTCCAACTTTACATATATGACTCATAACATCATATTCTATCATTCCACATATCACCCTCATTCCCTCTTCTCCTTTACTACTTTCGAGTCACAGTGGCTTCATTTTGGTTTTTGAATGCTGCAAGGATGGTCTTCCTTTAGAAATTTTGGTCCAGATATTTCATCACTGGAAATCTTCTTCCCCTTTAACATCACATAACTTACTTCTGTTCAATCAAATTTCAAATCAAGTTTAATTTCTCCTGGAAGACCTTGAATGGCCACTTACTTATATTCTATCATCTCAATTTCTTTTTATAGACTTTACCATTACCTATTTATTTTTATTTCTCACTTTTTTGTTTATTGTCTGTCTTTATCCACTTTAATATGATCTCTGTAAATGCAGAGGTCTTGTATCTTTTGTTCTATGCTGAGCCCTCCGTGCCAGCAAATTGTTTGACACAGATGAGTGTTCCATAAATAATTTGAAGTGGCATAATACAACAGGAAAAATTGAGCACATTATTGTACTTCCCAGTGCCACTGCAAATTTTAGATTGATTAGCTTATTTAATCTTCACACTTTCCCTCTGAAGAATGTACTAATAATACCTTTATTTTCCAAATGAAGAAAGTACTTACGCAACATTTAGCACCGTTTATAATTTTCACAAATGGCAGTGCTTAATGATTTTCCTGAGCCCCCAAGCCAATGTTGCTGTTGGAAACTTTGTGAAACATAAAATGTGTCAGTTGCTAAAGAAGCAGAAATGACATGAACATTAGAAGTAACCTTATTAACATCTCCTTCATCTCCTTGCAGTGAATTACCCTCACCTGGCTTCTGCCTCATCTGTTCCATACCAAATTATATCTACATGGTTCCTGCTGTCACATACCTGCCTCAGGTAGGATTCAGGTAGGATCTGGATTCAACAATCCAAGCCCAGCTACATTAATATTGAAGCCTATTCACAAGAGAAAGCTAAATGTTGAGTTTCAAATCAAAATATCAAGTAAACAATTATATAGGGATAACAACATGAAGTGAGAAATTGGACTAAATTGTCTAAGAATTTCTCCATGTAAATTCTTAATTCTACCTGATTTTATGGAAGTACTCTGCTCATTAGATCATGTTAAGTATGTGACTTTGACTCTCTGAGCCACTGAACACTTCGTGTTCATTAGTTTGTATGCACAGCTATGAAGTAACTAAGCTGAATACATAAACCCAAAGGCACATCTAAATATTTTCAATGGCAAAAAAACCCTATTTTTGACTATTTACATACATAAGACAAGGGGAACCCAGAAAGTCTTACTAAGGTTAAAACTTAAATATTTTGGGGATTATTAGTCTATGGATCTAATTTTCATCTGCATGATAGACCCACTCATCCAAATAGCTAAATGCTGATTTTGTGCATGTAAGGGATTGATTTGGATACTGCTTAATTTGGCTAAATAAGGAATCCTTCCTCAAGAAGTGCACAGCCTTAAAGGGAAATGACAAATCCATTTGTCCAACCAGCTATAACTAGAAAGAGGGTGGAATTGACTGTATTTTGAGGAAGCTAAAGATGGATTGGTATGACTAGTTGAACACAGATTTCAGTTCTGATACTTTCTTTCTTTGAAGAGTATTGACTATATGAGATCACCATGATGATGTCTCAAACTTTGTGACAGACACAAGGCCCAGAGATGGGAACCATCAAGGATGGTGAGAAACATAACAAGGAAAAGAAATTAAGCTACTGGTGGTTGAGTGTCTTTTTATAGAAATATATAAATGCATCAAATGATCACAGATAAATGGAAAATTATATCCAGAAGAGCCTTTGTGTACCAGTGAACCAATTTCTATTTAAGACTGAGTGTCAGATAACAGAAGTGGTTGCCCAAAAAATATTAGATGGTAAATCTTCAAACAGATTCATGTCTCTTGAATACTTGTCCACAGCTTTTTCCTAAGTATTATTCTTATTAAATATAGCCATTGCAAAATTGAAACAAATCTAAATGAGGCTGAGTACAATGGCTCATGCCTGTAATCCCAATACTTTAGGAGGCTAAGGTGGGCAGATCACTTGAGGTCAGGAGTTTGAGATCAGCCTGGCCAACATGTTGAAACCCGGTCTCTGCTAAAAATATAAAAATTAGCCTGGTGTGGTGGTGCATGCCTGTAATCCCAGCTACTCGGGAGGCTGAGGCAGGAGAATTGCTTGAACCTGGGAAGTAGATGTTCCAGTCATCCAAGATCGTCTCACTGCACTCCAGCCTGGGGGACAGAGTGAGACTCTATCTCAAAAAAGAAAGGAAAAGAGAAAATAAAATAAAATAAAATAAACCTACATGAAACAGAATTCAAATGCAGAAAAGAATTCTATTTTTTCAGTGAGGCATCAGAATTTTAAAGAAAATAATGACCTAATTAGTAAAGCAGGTCACTAAGAGAAGGTGAAAAAATGACCATGATGACATATTTTCTTGAAATGACATGTATCCTACCCTGAATAGAGCTAAGAAACTGGGCTTTATTTCATTTTTTAAAAAAATATCTTTAGTCTCTCTTGTTGGTGTTGTACTCTTGTGATTCTATATTTAGCCTAATAGCCTGATGTCTCCCTACACACATACCCTTAATCCCACAATCTGCTCACCATTTTCCAAATGTATCACAGCCTTTTCCACTTCTCTCCTGTGCTCAGGCAAAGCCTCCTGTTTGGACTTTTCATTCTCATATTTATGGTTACCGTGAGCCTTGAGGTAAGTAAGATTTTAACATTTCAAGAACTGCAAGAGAGGGGTATTTTCTGCCCCACAACATTAAAATTCGTCACCCTTCCTCTATTTTCACAACAGTATGATGACAGTTCTGTTGCTGTATTTCATTAACTTACTCAACAGTTATTTACTGTCCATTATGCAGTAGGTTAATAGGTTATAAAGCCTTATAGTACCAGTAAATAAACTGTATTACCCACCGGAGCTTACGGGCTTCTTAAGATCATGGAGCATATCTTATTTATATAAGCATTGCCCACAGCTTCTAATATCATGCAATAAACATATTAGAAACTTAATGTTTATTGAATAGACAAAGCATGATCCATCAGCTTCAAAGTGATTCTTGAGCCTGAAGGAACCCAAGGGTACCTCTTGACAAGAAATGAACAGATTAAATTTACTACAAACTATGACCAAAACCCATGCTTCATTTTCAGAAATATTGAATCTGTGTCACACATTTGGGAAAATCTCAGGCATCAGGAAAGTGACTCACTGCTTGACATCTCCCCTGGAGGTTTAAGCAAAGGCAAATTGATTTGAGTACCTGGCCAAATCTGAGCATTCCTGCAGGGGAGGAGGAGTGGAGGTCTTTGGGAAAATTTTGAGCAGCATGAGAGTCTCCTCAGGAAGGAAGATAGGGAGAAATAATGTTTTCAAGGTAGTTTATGGATGGATGGGCAGCCAAATGGCTTAATGGCATAAGAGGAAATAGTTCTTAAGGCCACCCTCCCAGCAAAATACACGTTCCCATCCATATGACAGGACTGGGCTACTTTCCAGTAGTTTGGTTTACCAGATTGCATGTCTGCTGATGCATGAATGACAAGGATAAAGCTAAGACTAGAATTATATTAATATATACATTTCATTAAACATATAGATGTAGATTGGTATAGCTATATCTATAGATATAGACATAGACAATACCAGTATTGACTAGTTCTCTGTAGACAAGTCATCAGCATACATTGGAGTGTACATGAATGATTTGTGGTTTTTAATATGGTTATCATAAGAAAGACTGACATTTAAAGTTCATAAAATGAACACTGCAAGGAAGTATCTTTTATGGTTACCAAGAAATTTCTTGGAACTTACTGGAACAGGAATTCACTGAGGTGTTTGTCTTCTTTTATTTGTCACCCCAAATTCTGTTTGAAATTAAGTAAGCCCTAAAAAAAAAAATTTCCTCACCTTAAGGTATTTCAGACGTTTTTAGAGAATGAAAATTATACTGATCATTACACTTTATTATAAAAATATAGTATATTATATGTAAGAGTTGAGTGGCGTGTGCCACCCAACTCCTTATTGAATGCAGTTCACACGCACCCACGCAGTGACACACACACACACACACACACACACACACACACACAAATACACATACCATGCACGTTGTATTTTTAGGTATTTTGTTAATTTTATTTGAGGTATTCACTATATACATACATTATATTTATGTTTCTATATTTATTTTGAATATTTATTATATATAATATACATCATATATTTTAAAATATGTATTATTTCAAAATATTTTTAAACTTTATTTTATTTGCCAAAATATATCTCTAGGTAACCTATGCTTATTGATCTTAATAATTTACTTTCTAATTTCATTAAAATAAGTCAATTTTATCTTTCACAAGATAACACATAAAATGTAACAGACACCTCCTAACTCTTCTTCAAATTACGTTTCTTCTCATCTCTGGATTACACTCCAGTGTATCATGAAAGGAAGCTTCATCAAATACTACATAAAAATATATAAAACTGCAAATATTTGACCATTTTTACTGCTTTTAAAGACAAAAATTTCTCATAGTTCAATGTAGCACTGGTAATATGTGTGGCTATCTATTGCATTCAAATATTCAAGTCAGGCTAAACACTCTATTGGCTCCTAGATGCTCATTTTTTTTATATGAAAAGTGGCTTTGAGCTGACATATTACCATTGAATGGGATTAGAAGAAAAGAACAGTAGTATAACATTTACAAGGTATATCGTTAGCAATGAGAAAACAGTTACTTACTCTTTCAGTCTTGGGAAGGCACTTTTAGAATTCTTAATAATAATATCAAAATGGGGTTTTGAAACAAGAATACAATTTTACCAAGGAGGAAAAGGAGATGACATTCTAGCCAAAGTAAACAACGTATACAAACAAATGAAGGCAGAAGGTAGCAAGGTGAATTTATCAAATTAAAACCAGTTTTCTTTTGCTATTGCACAATTAGCCAGGAGTGTGAGGGTATGTGTGTGTGTGTGTGTGTGTGTGTGTGTGTGTGTGTCTGTGTGTGGGGAGGGTTTAAATTTGGAATTATAAAACATGAAGCTAGAGAGATAGTCTAGGATGAGATTTAGAATTTTTTTTATATCATACAAAGGATTTTATATAACTGGTGTCTCAGAATGTTCTAATTGGCACCTCTATGGAAGCTAGATGAAAGATGGAGTTAGAGGAAAAGGAAATCATTAGAGAATTTTCCATATAGTTTATTGTGATTTCTTTCTTCCTGAAGTAGCACAGAAGAAGAAAAGAGAAACTGGTAGGCTTAAGTAATATATTAAACATGAAGTCAACAGAATCTGGTAATTAATTGGATGCCAGAAACAAAAATGAAAGAGTATTAGTAGTCCTAGTAGTTCCATATACTGGTTTGAGTGACATGTTAAAATGGTGTTGCCTTGGGTACAAAAAAAATAGGAAGAATGACTAAGACCTACTGTAGAGTGACTTAAGTCAATAGTAACTTAGTTGTATATGTTTGAATAATTTTAAGAACGTAATTGGGTTGTTTGTAACTCGAAGGATAAATGATTCAGGGAATAGATACTTCATTCTCTACGATGTACTTATTTCACAGTGCATGCCTGTATCAAAACACTCATGTACCCCACAAATATATGCACCTACTGTATACTCACAAAATTTTTAAGAAATAATTTAAAAAACAATTTTTAAAAAATGGTGCTGCCTGGCCAGGCTTGGTAGCTCATGCCTGTAATCCCAGCACTTTGAGAGACTGAGCCAGGGGGATTATCTTAGTCCAGGAGTCCAAGACCAGTGTGGGCAGCATGACGATACCCCATCTCTATTCAAAAAAGAAAAAAAAATGTAAAAAAAAAAAACAAGTGCTGCCATTTCTTGAAATAAAGAACACCATGGTTGTAAGGAATCAACTATATTAGATTTTATCCAGCCCTTCAGCCTCAGCATCCATACCCAAAACTATTCCACAAAGGAAAACATATTAAAAGATCCATGCATGTGGATTTGAACTTTAAAATTGCTGTTTTCAATATATATTACTACATGCATGGGTTAAAAAGACTATGCTATAATGTGAGGATTTTTGTGTAAATAGAAACAAGCATTAAATGTCAAAATCATTATTGTTGTGACAATCTTCATTCTTTTCATCCTCAAACTTGTGCATTAGAATAACACTGATTTTTTTCCCAACATCATGTGAGATAAAAATAATGTTTATTTTCTCTTTGGTTATAGAGAATGAGTAGGTTCATTAAGATTGTTAGATTACTGAATATTCAAAGAAATGTGTTGCAAAAATATTTCAGCATCAAAAAACATTGAGATTTAAGGGCAAAAAGGTAAAAGTAACATTCAACAATCATCTACTATAAATCTTAAACTTTCCATAAAAAACTTACATTAACTCAAAAATTTAAACTGATTGTAGCTATTTTCTATACTAAAACTGTAAGAAGTCATTTGCAAGCTACCTTTAGATTTCAATTGATATTACTGAAACTATCTTATGTATTAGGCACCTTGTGTTGACAGCCTCTAAAGTAGACCAATAATTTCCACCTCTAGGACAATCTTGGTCTTGTATTTCTCCTCCCTTCAAGTGGGGAATGGACTTAGTGACACTTGTGATGAATAGAATGTTCTCACTAATAAGTGTGAGCCAAATAATGAATACACATGGACACATGGCAGAGAACAACACACTGGGGCTTGTTGTTGGGAAGAAGCAGAGGGAGGACATCAGAAAGAATAGCTAGTGAATTCTCGGCTTAATAGCTTGGTGATGGGCTGATATGTGAAACAAACCACCATGGAGCACGTTTACCTATGTAACAAACCTGCACATCCTGCACGTGTACCCCAGAACTTAAAAGTTGAATAAAAAAATATAGCAGAAGTGATTTTTGAGATGGGGTTATATAAAAACTTTTGCTTCTTTCTCATTTACTTTATGCCTTCACTCTCACTTTCTGAGTCTTTCTTTTACTATTTCCTTGTCCACTGTGGGAGAATCCAGCTGCCCTGTTGTCAGTAGCTTTATGAAAAGCCATAATGGCAAACTGGGGTCTCCTTCTAAGAGTCAGAAAGGAAATAGTTTCTTGCAAACAGTCCTGTGGCTAGGCTTGGGAGCAGACCATCTAGCCCCAGTCTGTAGCTTCAGATAACTCCAGCCCTTACCACCAGTTTAACTCAAACCTCATGGGAGATTCTAAGCTAGAAGAAACTAGTTAAGCCACTCCTAGACTTCTGAACCTCAAAAGTTGTATAAGATAATAAATGTTTGCAGTCTTAAGCTGTTAACACTGGAACAACTTACATAGCAATAATACACATGCATTAGCTTAATTTATTCCTATAAATGTTTCTTATAGATATTAAGATTTTCATTTTACAGAATAATTTACTGAGACTCATAGAGGCAAAACTGTTACTGAGATTTGAACTCTGTTCAGTCTGTCTCCTTCCTAATTCTTTCCATTATACCTGAATGTTTTCTGGGAATTTAGGACTCTTTAGGACTAATTGTGATAATTCTCCTGTTTATGTTACACCTACTTCCTTGGTTTTATTTCTGACACTTTCTGATCACTCTTGCACAGACAATCCAGTTAAGAGTATGATGCAGCTGTTTCAAGCAACCTGCTGCTTTGGCTGCAGCTGGGAACAACTAACTTTCCCAGCAAGCTCTTAT